AGGAGGAGAACCACCGCTTAACGGTGCCTCCCACTCCTAACTCACCGAGACGCCGCAGCATGATACCGTGGTCTACAGTATCAAAAGCCGCTGAGAGGTCCAAAAGAACAAGGACAGAGGAATAACCCCTGTCCCGGGCCCTCCAGAGATCATTAACCAACGCGACCAATGCCGTTTCCGTGCTGTATCCCGGCCTGAACCTTTTATAAAGACAATGCAACACTTGAAAGAGAACACCAATTAAAATGCTAAGCAGTATAAAAAATAAAGGGGAATGGGCTATACCTTACCATTAGGTTCTGGGAAATGTTTATCAGGTAGTGAGTTATATTCTTCCCCTGTAATTAGCACTTTGCCTCCAACAGGGAAAATGCAAGTCTTTGAACTTACTCCTTTCTGGAATGCCTACAATTAAGAAACAGTAGCAAATATTTTCTTTTTAAAAAACAAAACAAAACACAAAAGCACCTTTGACTTAAGAAGTGGCTCCTAAAAATGAATGAGAGAAGGTGAACAACACTTAAATTTCAAAATCCAGAATAGGAGGTAAATAAATGCTCTAAGTAACCACATAGGTCATTCTCCCCAGCCTCACTTAAAATTTCCATTTATCTAACTTTTTTTAAACTGCATTTTTTCTTCCAATAGGATTCTAGGATCCTCCTGGAATATAGGATCATTAATTAAACTTAATATAATAGTATGTGTAAAATAAAATAAATTAGACAAGTAGTATGTATAACATTTATTATACATTAAATATAAAATCAAGTAATAGAATTAACTTTTTGGGGGTATGGTATAGATGGAGGGCATCTCTGATACGATATTCTAAGACCTTTTCCTGATCAATGCCATTAATTTAAAAGTTAGGCAATGATGGGGCCAGAATGCAACTCTGCTTAATGCTTTAAAAAGTGGAAATATAATTCATCAGGTTGTGCAAGCATTTCCCATGCATAAAGGTATTTTTGTTTAGGACTGTCTCTCCCGAGACAGGGGTGCTGGTGACGCAAGTGAACCCATTTCTTAGTTGCATTTACTGTTATGAATTCCGTATTGCTGTTGGTTGTTTTTCCCCAGCTGCTATTTATAGTTTTCTTATATTGTTTTTATTCGCTTTTTAAGTATCATTAGCTGCCCAGATTCATATAGGGTTGGGATGAAACCCGTGTGCATTAGTATCTTATTTTCAAGATGAAAAGCTGGAAAGTAACCATTCTGAAATTAAGATATTGTATTCATCGTCACATTAATTATGGATACAATTAAATAATCAAATCAAATCTTTACCTAGGCATTTACTTGGAAGTTTCCACCACAGAGATATCAAAGTTATAACCTCCCAGGATGGCACAACAGTCTGCTAATCACTGATGACGACTTCATGACTTTCAGTAACCTTTCTTACCTCCAGTTGTCTGACCTTGAACATATCTATCTCTAATCACATACTGGAAACACATCAAGTTACAACGTGGAAAAGAATGCAGACAAATGGGATAGTTGGTGGGAAAGACTAATGTCCTTTGGATGTGTTGATTTCTCAAAGGCACAAAGGAAATCCCAGACACAAAAGGGATTGGAAAATGGTAATACTCATATACAGTATTTGTCCTTGGAGCAGAATAATTTGAGGTCTGGATAAAAAGACAACCACTTTAGAATACTAACGACTTCTTAAAACTTTTTTTAAAAATGGAAAATAACATAAATTGCCATCCTATTTTATACTTTTTATTTTTAAGGTTGTCTATGAATGTTCTTGAAGAATAGAAATCATGGGTGATTATAGCTCAAGGCTTTTGAGGAAAGCATGTCCAACTGCCCAGAAAGGGGGAGGGGGAACATAAACGTGGGTTGATAGAAAACCTCCAGGGTTAGCAAAGCACCTTAATTTCCATTTTGTCAATGTGTAAATTAGTATTTTATTTTACACATCTGCCTATAATATGCTCCAAGGGTTACAAATGTGCCCAGTGGCTCAGAAAGTATACTCATTTACTAGTTTTGCATCTCAGAATAGAACCCAACAGATCAGCAGTGCTAAGCATCATGCTTGCCTCAGAGCTTAATAAATGAACAGTTTACCTCTTTGCTTTCAAAGCTTTCCACAGCGTAATTACTTTCAATGTGTATTTCTCTTTCCATTTCTTCAGGTCTTCAGCAAAATGTAACACCTCTCCTTCATAAAGCACCATGCTGGATGATCCAGGCGGCTATATAAAAATGATGCCAAGAAACAGAATGCATTTCTTTTCTTTTGTAAAGTCGGCGAAAGGGTCTAGCATCTTAGAAAGATTGGTGTAGAACTTCAAAGCACTGTTATGAACAACGTATGAGATTTTTCATGCTACTACAACAAGTAGTGATTTATGTGATTTATGACTGTTGATTGGAGGAGGGAATTGTGCTTTGCTACTTTGTGCCCAGGGGAGGGGAATTCAGTTTTTGGTTTCGACTATGTAGTGCCGATACTTTGTTTCTCGAATAAAAGTGTCTTTAAGGTAAACAATGCCTCGATGTTCTTTTGAAGAGTTTCATCTGTCGGAACCATGAGAGTCAGTGGGGATGCCAGATTCACTTAACAACCGTTTTATTAAATTAACAGCTGCAGTGATTCACTTAACAATCCTAGTCAAGAAAGGTCATAAAATGGGGTAAAATTTACTTAACAGTTTCGCTTAGCAAACAGACATTTTGGGCTCAATTATGGTCGTAAATCGAAGATTATCTGTAGTCCATACACCATGGTTGAAGAGCAATAACGATCCATTTTATGAACCACAGAAACATTAACAAGCCCAACTATAACGGATGCAAATCTTCAGTGAGAGTTTATCAGCGTATAAAAGCCTATATATAGTCATATCCATACACAAAGTGTCTATTAAATATCTTGCTGTCTGCTCATTGTGAGGCCCTTCCTGGGATTTACATTGGAACTTTTCCATTCCTTGGAAATATCCTAAAGCTGATCCAATTGTTTCCTGCTCTTTCTTTCCTAATCTTAAAACAATGCATATAAACTGAGGTACATACATGATGTAGTTTTCTGGCACTGAATTAAATCAGTCCCTTCCTCTGCAACAAAACACTCTGCTCATTCAAAGCCATTTTCTTACATCTTTAAAAAAAAAAGGTTATTTGAATGAAAAGCAACATGGTAGCTTCATGTATGTTGCATGTTAAGCCCTAAACAGCTTGGTTTGCTTTTTGTGAAACAAGTTAAAGAATAAACTGCAGCGGACTTCCGGTGGCAGGCGATTTCGTCGGTCGCAGCTGTTTGCTGCCTCCCGCCTGTTTTGCGTAAAAGCCGGTTTGACAGCCAGCATCAGCTGTCAAACGGCTTGATACCTTTCCCCTGGGCATAAGGGGATAGGTGAGCTGCCCGGGGTAGGAGTTGAGTTCCCGAGTCGTCCTATATGGACGATGTAGGCGA